CAGATACTATAATCGTGTAGATTTTGTATTTTGGAGACATTTGGTCGAGGACAATTGTTGTTACCGTATAGATCTAATTCGTGTTGACATGTTCATTGTGGCATTAAGTCTTAAGCCGTTGCATAATTGCAATTAAGGTGCCTAGGTCGATTGAAACGATTTCGTATTTATAACCAACGGCACAGACGACCGTTCACAAGCTGTCCGGACAGGTAACGTTTTAAGGCTTTAGAAAAAGCTATAAACGAAGGAATAATTATAATAATCATGCAATTTAGTACGTTAAAATCTGGCCGTAAGCTGTTGGGAATTCTGTGTACCATACAGTTTGTATAGGAAATTCAGCGAGCGCTATATAAGGTACATATATATAAACGAGAGCTATATACATGTGTGAATCATAGCATACAAAGGCACAGAATCTTCATTTCAATGTCTAACGGCTTATAGGGGCTAGTAAAATATTACGCGATCTTGATTTTTTTTTAAATAATGACGATCAGGCAAGAAGCTTGATGGTCATTATTTAAAGATTTTTACTTATATGCAAATATTGGTATTTAATAATCAACAATACCTCAAAAGGTTCTGGATAATAAACTTCTGTCATAAAAATCTTAATATATTCGCTATGAGCCCCAAGTTGACAACCCTGTTCCCCGTACCTCGAAATCCAAACATCGTTTCTTATTGAGAATAACCGTTGAGACTCGGTCGAAAATACTAAAATTATCCGTAACTGACCCAAGGCCGTGTGGGCAACGCCCGTGATCCAATATGAGTCGTAATCTGGCCGCTTTTGCACTGCACCAGACGCTACAATTGAGCACTCAGCCATGAGGTCCGCCGTAACTATTATGGAAGGCTGGTATTGGCGAATACTCGTATCGGTGGTCAGTCAGTAGTGTCTACAATCATAGAAGCACAGATTCGTTATATAGGCAGGAAAAAAGCTATACAAACGGCTGTAGATATAGAGGGCGGCGTCGTGACCTATTAAATCTGCAATCCTAATAGAACACTTCAGAACAGAAACATGAACGTAGCAGTACACAGCACTCCCTGGCTACCATTTTCATGCGCTGGAGTATTATAGAACGAACAAACATCTCTGACAGCGCGGGGCACTAGGGGCGCCCCTTGGAACAACTCTAGTTAAACAAGGCAACAGGTCTGAGCCTGACTTGCAATGAGCGCTTGAAAACTGCAGCCGACCTATCTTCATGCTAAACAGGACTGTTTAATACTTGCTTACAACATGGGCATCTATTACCAAACAGGAGTGATGCCCCGTTAAGCGTTGCACCTAAAGGAAAGCACAACCCACGCGACCTGAAAGGTGATTGCGAAAAAAAAGCTGCTACTATCAACTTCTAGGTTATTTCATCACACACCGAATAACGAGGTTCTTGGAAGCTTGCTCATGTATCCCGGCTGAATAGAATGTGCGTTGGAGAGAACGATATACCTTCATGACGCGTAGCACTTTGCTCCAAAAAAGGCACACCGTGTCTGTGGCGGACCAAAACGCGCGTTCTTCGCGGGGTCTATGGATTATAAGTCGACGTTGGATATGGTTATCAAAGACAGGTATTTAGTAAAGTTTGCAGTACTCAAACACAATCTGGATATATAATTAATGTCTTCATACATATAGCTAATGGGTTCATATAATTTTCGCCTCAGCCAGACGACCGTTGATTACGCTACCCCGAAGGGCATCTTCAATTAGTGGTACAGGTAACGTAAATGGCCAGCGGTAGCAAGATGTAATAGCTCCTTGGAACCGAATCCTAGACAATAAAGTATAGCGCATCATAAATGGATAAGAAACAACGCTCTACGTTATAACCTCTTCGAATGCAGTCGTCTATAATTTAGAGATTAAAAAGGATATGTGATCATTTTATTAACACATCACATCGAACGTCTATTAATTAGATATGTTAATTAAATTATTTTCTGGAACATTAATTTAGATTCAGGCCGCGTTTCTAAGGCGGTCTTCACTTCGAATTTGGGACGATTTTGTCGAAGATTCGAATTTGTATTTTAAATCCAGATTTGTTTTCATGAAATGTAAAAATAGGCACAATTTAGCAAAAGGATGTCTTTATTCCATGGTCTGTCTGATCGATTTCCTATTATATCTAAGAAATCAATGAGTTATTCGAAGTGAACGAGGCCTTTCAGTATTCTCTGCTGGGAATAAGATACTACAAAAAGACCAAAAATTGATATTTATCATTTAATTGTTGGGAACTAACAATGTTCAATAAAGGTCTACAGTACTTATTTAGTTATAATAATAATCTTGTGTCAACTAATCAGAGGATCGAGAATTTTCCCAAGAAAAATTTTATTTTATATTGGTTTGTCTTTTGCGAGATTGTAAAAAGTAGTTTTTCGAGGACTGTTACATGTAATGGTCGGCATATGGAGTCACATACTGTGATCGTGCTAGGGATGACCAAAGCTAGAAACGGACGAAATCGATTTGATTAAAAATAAAAATACTTTTTAATTTTCTGACTGCTTGTTTCTATTGAATTATTTCAGGTGGATTGTTGAAACGATCCTTGTGACACTATGTCATTGAGTCGACAAACTTCTACTACCGTATCGGTGATTATTATTCCAGGTTCCTTTTTGTGTCGCTATAACCCTTGCTCGTCAACCCCACACAATCCAACATCTGCGGCTCACGCGGGGGACAGTTGGCGCCATCTTAGATTCAAACGAGCTAATTATCATTCCTTTGTGCTCTGCTAGATAGAGCAAACACTTCCTTTAGTCGATTGCTTGTGCATTTTAGAAGCTGTACCGATGACAATCGTAGTAGTAATAATGACGGTGGTGATGGCAGCTCGGGCCACAGCGACGACGATGATGAAGACTGAATTCTCTACGCCGTCGCCCCCTCATTAGTCGAGACCGCTATTTCGGTTTACTTTTTTTGTGTACAACGTACAATGGAGCGTATCGGAGCACAGATTACGAAGCGAACAGACGTAGACGAAAGCATCGATACGCAGGTCCACATACCGGGCAAGCAAACCCTCCATTGTAAACTGTAATGGCAGCGGTAGTTTGGAAACAACTGGTTGCAATACCCTGCTCTTTCACAATATGCAACGCACGGATGAATAGACATACATACATAATCAAGGCAGCAGTTATATTGCATTTTTTACAGAATCTATAACGGGTACACTCTGCTGTATTCAGCACTCATGTTTTCTTTCTGTGCAGGGAAAGAGGCCTGCAAAAGCACAGTGTTAATTTTCCTCTAAGTCCTATTTACTTTTATGTTTGTTGTTTGTATCGGTCGTCTTTTTTTCTCGACCGTACGTATTTGACACCAGCTGTCATCGTTACTTATGATTTACGATTCTTTTTGCATACATGCCGTCGTCTTCAGTCGTCTACCTGCTGCTGGTCACACAAAGTACGGGGGCCTTTCCGAAAGGCTCAGCGGCGTAGAATACTACTGTAACTGATGACGTTATGCTTTGCCGTCGTCATCTTCAGTATTTCGAAGAATGCTCTTGCAACACCAGGAAACGATGTGAAAACATGGAAAAAGCAGCCGCGGTGATGAATTTCAAAAATAATGATAAGGTACCTCCACGTTCGCTGCGAGATAAAGGAACAGGTGGCACGAAGTAAGCAAAACGAGGCCTATTTGGCACCATCATCCTTCGTTCTTGTCTAGTGTACTAATGCGTCGTTTATATATCGTTAGAGATGCGAAGCGTCACTTTCCCATAATATCGATTAATAAGAGACCCGAAAAATACAATTTGGACAAAACTGTAAAACAGTTTATTCGGCCCAGATGGGCGAAAGTAAGATGGAAATATAGCTAGCAAGTACTCGAAACAGCTCTTGACTGAGCGCGCTATGCTGTTTGTTTCATTCTACAAAAAAAGCACTGTATAGGAATAAAATTATACATTAAAAGGTGGGAGGTAATGTCCGGGTTTAGGGGGTGTCCCCCCCCCCCCCCCCAGTAATATCAAAAGTATTAGAGTTTTAGCAGCACAGAACAAACAGAAGCTGTTCACGCCACAGCCTATTGTAAATTCCAATGATCGTAACAATGACCATAATAACAAACAATTATGACTGAACATGGTTGAAATATAAACTGATCCTTTTTCCTCTCGTTTGCATCGATTTCCGCTCGATTCAACCTAGCTCTCTGCTTTCTTTTTGTTTCAATCTTACCCTGAAACAGGCATTCGCTTGACCTGCAGTCCCTTTTCCTGAACGGAAGTTCTACCAGTGCTGCTGTTCAATCGTAGACATTGTCCACTGCCATCGGTTGCAGGTGGAGAACACCTGCGTTAGTTCGGTCGAAAGAGTCAGCGCTCACGAAGCTAGATCAACCAACGGCCACGTTAGAGTCTTCGTAGGCCGCAGTTGACATTAGCTTCAAACGTAATCAAGCCATCCAGCAGCCGTTCAGTAACTATTGGATCATCCGGCTGCCGGCAACGGTTTTTCTCTCACACAATTCGTATCGAAGCGCCTTGGTTTCTACCGCACAGTAGCAGCAGTTGCGAGGGAGGGGGCAGGCTAGAAAGAATGAGGGGTAACAGAACCAGGGAGCTCACTTGGTCGGCCAGTCGGCCGACGGACTCGAAGCAAAACTCACCATCCGCCAGGGGCGCTGTGTGTCGCACAACCCTGAAGCCCCAACCACGGGTATTCCGTCGCTGCCTCCCCTCTTTCCTTCTTCCCACTTTTTACCCCATCTAGGCCTCTCAGTCCCTAGCCCCTCGGACACTGCTGGGGAACGCTCCCCTTCCCGCTTGGATGCGTCGTCCTTCTTCGGACTCAGCGGGAAAGGGAGCTAGCCTTTGCCCTCTCCACGCAGCGGCTACCTGTTAGTGCTTTTGCAATATATCGAGGGAATGGCTGTGTGTGAGAATTACAGTTATTGAATCCGAGGGAAAAACAGACAGGAACGGCGCCCGCTCCGAGGAGCACAAGCACATTGAGGTGCTGCTCCACGGTGGACGTGTAACAGGTGGCCAGTGAGTATCGGTAAACGCGTGAACGAATGAATGTTCGGTGCTGTTCTTAAATTCAAGAAAGCTAGGATATATAAGCCATATTCCGCTGTAAGAAAACAAACGAACAATAACAACAACACGTGATTGCCGTCTGGTACTCCGTGCGTGAGCAACAACTACAACAGACACAACAATAAGAAAAGAACAATATCTCAGACAGTCAATCCCGGATCACCAGAATTTCCTCGTTTCTCGATAACTGCTGATCTCATATGCTCAATATGTCGGTAAGTGTCATTGTCATTTTCAGAACCTTTCAGAACGAAATGCAGAGTGAGTAATTTAGGAACCACAAAACAGGAGGCTATTACCGTTATTATGAAGCGGTTTCTATCGTTGCGAAGACAAGCTAATGGGAAGAGTTTACGGTGAGAAGTAGACAGTGCGCATAAGACACAAAACCTAATGAAGTCAGGCGAAGACGAATGGTAAAAAGTGTCGCAGTACTTCGTATCCAATGTTCTGCCCGTCTCTGCACATTCTAGGTTTAATGCACACAAAGAGAACAGCTTCTGTTTGCGTCTGTTGCAGTCGTTGTGGCCATCAGTGGTGCTGCTCGTACCGCTTTTATCAATGCAAAGTCTCCGCGAAGCAGGGGTTTGCTCTGCCGTCTCATAGGAAACGCGTTACGTGAACAATATGCTTTCACGAACACATAGCTTGCCGCCTATATGTATTTTTTTTGTGTGCATAAATGTACAACAACACGATATAAGACATCAGCTGCATTTGGGTGGATGCATAGATGTACACGAAGTTAAAGCCAACTACATTGTAGCACCGTTTCAGTGACTCCTCCAAAAGTGGAAAACTGAGAACAGGTCATACGCCCCATTTTTGAAACGGTCACAAAATATAAGCGTTCGCTTGGAGCCGCCATATTCTGCGTTGCATCTGTAGATAAAAACAGACGTGATCTAAGACAAAAGCTAAAAAACAGAATAGGAAGCAGGGCCATCCCAATATCATCATTTTTCTATGTCGCCCGTCCAGTTTCCTCATGCTTGGCCTAAAAACAAATATGGAGCGATGCAGGCACAGTTAAAAAGATTAAATGCCCTTTATTACGCAATATGCTGTAATGTTAGGTAACCTATTAACTAATTTCAAGCTCTATATTTCTATACAAGTTGCAACATGTTTGATTTGTCGAGGCTTGAGGTAGCCTTTAACTAGTGAAAGAAGCTTGGTGGTCAGAATTGTTTGGACAATATACATACATAGACAGTTTACGTGCTCGCAGATATAAATACGTGAAAAATATTACCACAACTGAGTATCAACCAGGTTCGTAATGAGCCTATATGTTAATCTTAATGCGAGGGATAAAAATAAGCAATGTATTAATCTAATCTAAGCACTCGTAAGCTCTTTTAGGATATATATATGTATTCATGACAGGTAGCACGGGATCGCAAAATTAGTTATCGGAAACAAGACGAAACAAGTTTCTTTGATGGGACATTATTGAGCCATCTACATACGTCTTTCAAGCAAACGTCTGCCAGAGCCTGCACCGTACAGCCAGGCTAGGTACAAATAGCCTCGGGTGCGTCAGGCCCACTAGAGAAAAGGCCAGATATCACCAATGGCAGCAGAGGGCTTTCAGGTCTCGGTCTGTCAACGTTTACCTATGGGCAATTGTCTCCGAGTAATTTGACGTCCGATAGATAGATCGACATATCCTAATTTCAAACCTGCCGACTACCAGACACGAGTTACAGTTTCAAGCCACAGGGCTCGCTACTGCAAAAGTAGTTTCAACCGCGAAATTGGACGACGTCAGTTAATATATGGGCATTTTCGGATTTATACGTGTAGTCGTAAATACACAGTCCTGCCTCTAAAACGTATTCCTTTTCGAAATCGCACTGGTCGACCATTTAATTCTGAGTAAAATTTCAACACAATAAAAGTAAATTAATATACCGGTGGCGGGTTGGATTATAGTACGCGATGAACTAAATGCCAATCCATAAAATCTTTCTAGATAGGTGCATCAATATAGTGCAGTGATATAATTATATCAATCCACAGTGACTGGATTCTGGAGTGAATTAATGGTCCAATACGCATTAAGGTTTTTGCAGATACATGGCCAACGTTATATTCGATGTGAAGTCAAACGATCACCGAATTAAAGAGTAAAAGGTCTCATCAAAATCTTACACCTCGTAAGTGCCTCGTAGACCTGCACGGGTCATTTCATTCATCTTTTCTGTAAAAAAAAAAAAACAGTTATCGAGTAACTTACGTATTATGGTTGAAACAACTTATACATATAGAAGCCAAACCTTGGGTAAAAACATAAATCTGATAAACAGTTTATTAAGAAAAAAATACGATGAATAAATTTAGCATATGTTTCATTCATATGATCCAACGGAGATATTTTCATCTATTGATTATTAAGGCCGCACTGTGACATAGAATTGGTGCTCAATTAGATGTGTACAGAAAAAAAAACGTTGTAGTTAGGCTTCGCATGAGAGGACGGTTGTGATGTATTTATTTTTCAGTGATCATTCAGTAGACCAAGAAAAGCGTCTTCTAAACTTAGCTTCCTCATTTGATGGCTACATAGCGCTTGTCCTTATGCCTAGGTTCAAATGTAAATATCTCCAGCTGAAATGGGGTGAGAGCTTTATATCGATGGTGTATGTAGATTGTTATCGTTCAACTTATTCAAACTACTCATAAGGATTATGCAAAAACTTCGGATGTATTTAATTTTAATAAAATTAGCTACTTTTTTGTGCAAATACATATCAGATAGTTCAATATATTTAGTTTAAATAGAAACCAATTTAATGAACAAACGCAATGTATTTATATGTGTACTTAATAGTTATTAAACACGAAGATTTTACTTCTCAGAAAAGTTCTATTTAATATCATCAACCCTATATCTTTGTTTTAATCCTGCTTTCGTATAGGTATTAACGCAGGCTACGTGCGTTTAACGTAGAAACGGGCCAATTACATTTGGCCGAAAATAGTACTATTTACGCAGGTTCCCCACCGCAGTGTTCTGCGACAGTTCCGTTTGTAGCATTCTCTGACTGACATATCACTGCTGTGTCACGGCGCAAAAACAAGGTAGGGAAGCGTTAGAAGTTAAATAAAGGTCATGGAACACGATGTCTCGATGGCTTCATAATAATATCAATAAGGTGAAGTGTGCGCCAGCATCCCAGAGGTTACGTCACACGCTTCAATTTTATAAAAAAAAAAAAAAAAAAAAAAGCCAATTCGAGCTGCACACAGAAAAATATGCTTAGCTGGTTCAATAAGGCAAGCTTAATTTACGTGGTTTATTAGGCTGAGTAATAACAAATCCTCAAAAAAATGTTATGTTTCAACATTTTTCGATGTGCGAACCCGATCTTTTCCAATATTCAAAAGCAGATTTTTTTTTTCATATTTTACGAATAAAATCGAAATTAAATAAATAAGCTACTCACTTTTGCATCGTATGTATGCTAATAATTATTTATAAGATAAAAATAACCAAAAAAAATTGCGGAAGGATGGTTCTAGAAGTAAGCATATGGGGAATTTGTGTCACTCCTGGTATGAAAGAAAGGACAACTAATAATTTCACGCACATCCTTTTCCGTATTCAGCCTCCATCCGTATTCTCGCAGTTTATGAACACGAACTTCGCCACTTATTAATGTCTACACCAAAAACCATTCCATTCTTCTAGCTTATGTCAAACGGGCTTCAAACAGATTTCATAAAGATTAACTAAACTTGCAGATATTGCAAGACCTCTTTTTCTGTATCTGAAGGGCGATCCATCGAATATATTCATGCTGTTTATATTGCACAGATCTGAGAAGCGATGAGTTTTCATAGAGATTATAACATGAAATTATCTAGAACGAACAATCCCCTCGTGGAAATGTACTCTCTGCTGAAACTATTCAGACACGTAGCCGTAAGTCGGCAGCCAGGTCAACCAGGGCAAAAAACTGCCAACTGACCTCTTGAACAGTATCGCTTTATAATCATTAAGACTTTTAATGAACATCGAAATATAATCAAAGAAGGTAAAATAGTTCTATTGCGTAGCGATCCGACGTACATGTTCGGCACTCAGAAGTAAATAGATATATAAGCATGTACCTTAGCGCGTTCATTTATCGTTGAGATGGTTGACAAATGACACAGTAATCCGCCGATAGAGATATTTCCTGTCTTCGTCACATTTATGTTTATGGGAAACGAATATGGCCACTTTCGCTAAAAGAGGAAATCAAGTCTGGAAAAGTTAACCGGAATCCCTGTAGGCCCCACTGTGTGAAAGCAGCGCCAGACTAAACCTGAATCAACGACGTTTTGCGTGCATTTTAAATCTATCTAATCGGGACTCCGTCCGTCCGTCCGTCCGTCCGTCCGTCCGTCCGTGCTTTGCTAGAGCTTCCTGATCACCCTCGCTAGCTGCCTTCCTCCTTGCTGCTGCGCACAGCGGAAGCCCGCACGTCCCGTCAAATGCCCTAGACTCGTATATCCGGCTCCGCCACAAGCATCCGCCTGCTTGATTTTGCAATAGAAGTAATACAAGTTAGCTCTTCGGAGAGCTGGAAGGAACCCAGAGATATTTCGAAAAGAAACGTACTCGTGTTTCCTCCTTACAATTGGTATCCCATATAACCAAGCTACAATTACATCAAACCCAACTGTCACTAACGCAATATTTATATGTATCTCAATTCTGTATGTCGAACAATTGTTACGTTTGCAGGGATTCTAAATGGATTCGGCTGGCCTTAATTGATGTGACAGTAATATTTAAAGGAAGGCCAACGGACAAAAGCTAGGGTCGTCGACGTGCTTTTATTCATTCGCTGTTAAATAGATCTTCCTGTCATTTTATGAAAGGCAGTTAGCTGATTCTTAACTATAATTCAATTAGCGTACGTTGTCTTCAAGGTATTAAACATTCGTCTGACGGATATGTACCTTCATCATGGGCATCCGTTGCGGCACCTAATCTGTTCCTGGGTTTCTGTTTTTTACGTTGAAGGCACCTAGTAGTAAAAACTAAGAACGGCAGCTACTCGCACTACCCAGTAAAAAAAATGACTAATGCAAAAGGCACTAAACTTAATTCAAACGTGGCCATGCCGTCATACGTTAAGAGACAATAAAATCAACCTAATTCATAATTATCAATCCGCTACTTAATAACTACGTGACAGTTACTAGCCCATTTTTTTAT